CGGGCGATTCTTCGCCCCGTCGGCGCAGCTTCTCCGTCACCCACCCCTGTCCCCCCTTTTGTCCTTCTTCCTCCCATCCACACTGCTCCCAGAACCTCTCAACCCCCAGAACCCGGGGGAGCGCGCCCAGATCGCGTTCCTGTAGCACGACGAGAACAGCTTCTTCCAAATGGGGAGGATCTGGGTAGGGGGATGGGGCGAGGGTGTGCGGTTCCCTTCTCGCCACTTCCTTGTATGGACAGTGGGGGACTCCAAAGCTCGGCTCGGGAGAGGCCCGAAGCCCGGTACCCGGACGTGCTGGGGGAAGCACAAAGGGGCCGACAAGAAGGGGGTGGGGAGGCCCGCCGGTGCAAGGAGATGGAGTGGGTTGGAGCCTCGGGAGAGCGAATCGAGGGCGGCGGGTAGGTGAAACTGCTGCAGACGTCCTCAGAGACTGAGCTCAGGCACCCAAATTGAAAGATGGGAGGAAGACTGGGTAAGGAAGAACCCCCCCTCAATCCCAGGCCCTCTGGCGCTTCGAGTTTGGGGCCGGCTTTGTGGGGCGGAGGGCGGAGGTTCCCTCCCAGCGCTAGGTAAAGGGATGAGGAGGACCACTCTTACCTCCATCAGCCCCCCCGACGTGTCCAAGTCGTATACGATCGTCTTGGTCTCCATTTTCTCCCACATTCATCCACCTCCCGGGCTGGGCGCTCTCTGCTCCGGCCCCCCCAACCCCGGGGGGAGGGGGGAAACGGGGGAAGGAGGCGCTCCTGACCCCGGCTCCCCTTCTTTTTTTCCAACACGGGTCCTGACTTCTTCGTCCTGACTCCCCCCCACCCCCCGGCCCCCAGTCCCTGGGACGGCAGCGTCCTCCCCACGGCTGTGAGGGGGGAGAGGCCCCTCAGCCCGGCCAGGAGGCTGGTTGCACAGTGGGTCCCGGCTCCGGGGGTCGGGCCTTGGCGGGGCCTAGTCCCACAGGCTAAAGCCGGTGCTGGAGGCCGCTGGATCGGCCGGGAAGGCTGGCGGACGCTGCCATCCCGGGGCTGGGGGGATCGGCGGGGGGGTGAGAGGTTAGGTGAGGTTGTGGTACGTGAGGTGACTGGGGGGAGGGTGATGGGGGGTGGTCCCCGGGCTCCGCCTCTCGCCGCCGCCGCCGTCTGCGTCCCGGCTGCCGCGCACTTGGCGCAAACTTACCGCGAGCGCCCGCAAAGCCACCCGCGCAGGCGCCCCGGGATCGCCGCTCGCCGCGCGCAACCGCAGTGACAGCCGGCGGCAGGGCTCCCGCGCAGCCGCGGTGAGGGGATACCCCCCAGCGCGCAGCCGCGCTGGCATTCGTCTGGAGCGCCGAAGCTCCGCCTTTTTGCCCGGCGCCAGCGTACTGAGCTAAAAGGGCGGGACCAGGGTTCTCGCGCAGGCGCTTGGAGAAGCTCGTAGGGGTCATGGCGCAGCCGCAGGAACCCGGGGACGCTCCATCCATTGGTGTTTGTGTCTAGACCCAGAGGACTCTACTTGCGCGCACGCGTGTTGGGTGTCCCTTCCTATCGCCCCATAACAACACAGCCGGCTTCTGCGCAGGCGTATTGACACCTGTAGGCCCTCACAAAAAAACTGCTGCTTTCGCCATTTTGGTAATGGGATAAGGGATCCAAGCTCTTGGAAGTCCTCAGAAACGATCAGGAAGGAGCAAGGTGTGGTGTTGAACGGAGCCGGCAGGCTGTCGGTAACGGCAGTATTCATAAATGTGTATTACAGGACCATTTGGTTCAACATCAGTGTGGCCGGGCGAGGCCGCCATATTGGTAAAGAGAAAAGCCATTGCGACAAAAACCGACGCTTTTGGTGGTGGGTAGAGTGTTTCCACTTTCCTCCTGCTCCCGAGAGTTAACTTTAACTCGAGCATCTATGCCTTGAGCAGTGAAAGCAAAAGTTCTGCCTACCCGTTATTATCCTCTCTTGACTAATGTCTGTTCGAACCGCTCTTTAAAAGGAATCTAGAGGCCGAGAGACCGTAAACCTGACAACGCCCAGCTACCTGCCTACCTTGGACTCTAACTCCCAGTTTGCAACGCGTAAGGGAGTTCAAAGGGCGAACGGAAGCGCATAGCTCCTTGGGAACAAGACTTGCGACGGGTCCGATGGATTGTGGGAGTCGTAGTTCTTTATGCATGGGATGTGCTGTATGATACAACAGACTGGGATTAACCTGCCAGAGGGGAAACTTGAGCTGCGGCAGTGAATACTGGGATTTGTAGTCTAAGGCCTTCACCTCGAATTCTGGGCGTGGATTCATGCTTGTGTCTTGGCGCCTGCTCCTCTAGGGTGACAGTCAGGTACCGTTCAGACTGAATGAAGCAGTGGAGGAGAAAACTGCATGGTCGTGCCGATACTAGAGATTTAACTGACGTTTACATGTGGCTGTGTCCTGCCCACGTAAGGTTATGCCACATTGCATTTCAGGAAAGCACTTATTCTACTGAGCCATCTCTCCAGTCCCCAAAGAACTGAGCTAAGGGGCAGGCCCCCCACATTGCATTTCAGAAGAGAAAAGGATCTATACACCATCCGACTTAATGTCTTCATTTCCAGATGCAAAGAACAATGATTTGTGTAGGTCACATAGTGGAAGAATTATCACAGGTTACTGTCTACTGACCAAAAATGGTTGCTGTTCCTTCTTTCTAGACAATACAGAAGAGGAAATAGGTAGGGTAAGTTTGCCAGTGTGTGCAATTTTGGCTTGTTTTTCTGATTTTTCACTTTTTTGATGACCGTTTTGGCCCCCATAGACCGTAGTCAGTTATAAGCTAGAGATGTGACCTTCAGAGAGGGTGCACTGAGCTAGATTGCTTGTATGGAAGAGGCTAGAGGTTATCCCTCGTGGGGCTGTACTTTATGCCTCAGGCCCTCAGAAGTTGCAGCCTCATGTGCCCTTTCTCATTGGCTTCCTTCCTACTTCTTGGAAACCAGCTGTGCTGCTGTGTCAGCCTGAAGGCATTATGGATGGGAGGAGGAAGGCATTGGTACTACCCTGTGAGCTAAGCTTTGCTTGGATCAACACCATGAGTTGCACCTGAGATCAGGAACAGGGCATGGCTAGTAAGGGAAATAAGACAAGGGTCTGTTGACAAATGCCTTGGGAGCTAATCCTACCACACACCTTGCTGCTGGAGCTTGGAGGATGAGGTTAGCTCACTGAGGAATTGGAGCCACCTTGGAAAGTTCCAGCTCGGAATGTTCAAGGAGAAGTGGGGAGAGCAGGTGGCATACAGATGTCTTTGGAAGCGACCTCTAGTGGCTGATTTAGGCAATATGCTCTGCTGAAACTGAAGCTTCTGGGTTCCTCTAAGTAGCTTGTGTTAGAGCCAAGGGTTGGACAGGAGTTGTGGACAATACCTCCCAGCTACAAGATGATAGAAGTAGAAAGTGCTAATTGCTTTTGATTTTTCTTTGTTTCTTTTTCAATACTGGGGGTAGAATGCAGGGGTGCTGTACCACTAAACTATATTCCCAGCCTTTATTTATTTTTTAAATTTTGAGACAGCACCTTATTAAGGTATCCACGTTGCCATCCAACTTGCAATCCTCATTCTTCAGCCTCCTTAGTAGCTAGAATTCCAGGCATACACCACTACGCACAGTTTGGTGTTCTAAGTTTTTTTTTTTTTTTGGAACCAGGGATTGAACTTGGGCTTTTACGCTTGCCAGGGAAGCGCTTATTCCACTGAGCCATCTCCCCGGCCCCTGGTGTTCTAATTTTTTTTTTTCTACTGGTGTTCTAATTTTTATCAGGGATTTTTGTCATCTGGCTTCTGAGTTGCCGTAACTGCCTGTTTCCTGCTTTCTGCTCTTTCTCTAGAAAGCATCCACACAGGGTACACCTTTAAACATGGAGCATGTATGCTGGGCAGATACTTTCATCTTAGAAGGCTCTCGAGAGTCATAGGGAAAGGCCAGATTTAAGTCAATCCTGCATGGCCACCTTTTCCCAGAGCCCAAAGAAACTTAGGTGCCAAACTCTTAAGCTGCATTGCTCCTGCGGAAGAAAAGGAGAGATGTGGCAGACTTCCTGGACTTTGTCAGCAGTCCAGTAGCGTTGAGAAAGGGCTTGGGAGTGTGCCAGCCTGTAGTTCTAGGCCTGCCAAAGAGGAGGAAAAGAGGCATTGGGGTGAGTGCAGAGTTGGGTTCCTGGGTTCCCACACCCCCGTGGCATGAGCCATTGGGTCCTTTGTTGCATTAACCCTTTGGGGACGGTGGTCCCTGTTCAATAGGCTGTAACTGGTTTTTAAATAAAGTCTAAGGATGATTGATTGGTTCTACATGTCTTCTGGTCCTGAGGTCTATAGCCCATTTATTTATACCTCCCTTCCACAAAAGCAACATCCACTTGGCAAATACTTGATTTTTTTCAAAAACACCATTTTAATAAGGAAACAACAGAAATAAAAGATTGTTCTCTGGCTGGAGCCCAGACCCCATATAATACATTATATGTACAAAGTGGCCTTCAGCCAGCCCTGGGGCTCGTCATTGTTCTATGCCAAATTCCTGGGTCTTTGGACCTCTGCTCCTCTCCAGAATATACCTGCCTATTCCTCTTATGTCATAGGACAGTGGCAGGAGGGACTAGTGGGAAGGGGAGTGTTTGTAAGAGACAGATAAACATCAGGGAAAGGTCTCCCTCTCATCAGAGTACAGGGCTGCCAGGGAGCAGTGGAGTATTCTGCTTTGGTGTGGAGCATAAGTACCCAGTGGAGCCCAATCAAGGCTTGGGGTAGAGTCCCTGAACCCCTTTAGAGTGCTTTCAAATTATTTCCTCTACCAGGATGGACCAGGAGGCAGAAACATTGATTTCTGGGGCTTTCGAGAGCTCTCTGAGGGGCTGATGTTGGCATGCTAGAACTATCCCAAGGTCACCATCAAGAGCTGATTTGGCCAATGGTGATGGTCCTGTGAGGAGCACCCTGGTGCATTTTTCACCACCAGCAGCCTGGCTGGAGAGTCTTATGTGCCAGGGATGGCCACATGGAGAAAGGTATACCTGCTGTGCCTATGACTCCCAGGCAGGAGGGTCAGGGCATAGAGGACGGTCAGGAGAATGCTGGCTGTTGATGATGTGCTCCAGCTGTGTTTTACTCAGTCGGGTGCCCCCTGACTTGGGCCGAAGGACAGGCCCTAAATGAGCAGTAGTGCCAAGTACATAGGCCATGATGGGCACTGCAGGCATGAAAGGGCACAACTTCATGAAGGATTGGTGGCATCTCTTCCCAGGTGGTATATACAAGAGATGGAGGGGCAATAGAAAGCCAGGAGCCCTTCTGCTGGGTTGTGTGCAGGGCTGAGTGAGCTTCCCCAGGGTACCCCCACCTAGATGGAGACTTCATACTCTTTCATCTCCTGCAAAAGAAAAAGACTGCTGGGAGTTGGAAACTTGCATAAGATTTGCCAGGCCACAGTCTATCTTCCCAACAAAAGGGAAAAAGTGAGGCTTTGGTGGGATCCTCAGGGGTATCTACCCAAGGGAGCAGAGAATTGAGTCCTGGATAGGGTGTCAGGGCTGCCATGGGTACTTACTCCAGTCTCATAAGTTGGATTGTCAAATGCTGACTCCACGGTGATGCGGTTGTAAGGGCGAGGCCGTGTTCGGGGCAGCTGCAGGGGGCTTTTCCCCTGGAGCCTGTGGGATGGAGAAGCTTGTTAGTCAGGAGCACAAGCAGGAGTGAGTCAGATATGCAGAACAGGAAGAGACTTACCTGGAGAAGTAGAGGTACACACCTCCCACCAACAGCACCATTGCTACCAGGGGCAGGAAGATGGCAGCTGCAATGTGGGCAGCATCCAGGGTCCTGGAGGTAGCAGGTGCCTTGGCAACTGAAAAATACAGAGGCCAGGGTTGGAACAGAGGTCCCTGTCACCAAAAGCCCATTTCCCCTCACCTGTGCCCAAGGGCAGCCAGATAACATTTTCTTCTAGATGGCTAGGGTTAGGGAAGGAGCTTTTTGTCCAGGTAGGCCCAGACCTCTTTCTCTGCCTTCCATCTGCCATGAGAACCCATGGCTTGGAAGTTGTGAGAACCAGGTACAGGGAGACCGCTTTCTTAGCTCTCAAGGGCAAGAACTCACCATCCAGGCTACGGCTGCTGTAGAACCCATCCAGAGAGGCTGGAACAAGAGGGGAGGGCCAAGGACAGTGGGTGAGCCCAGTGGGCCAAACCACTAATACAAGGAACAGAGGTAGTGGGCTGATTGTGGGTAGGGTCTGTCCAAGGAGAACCTACTCCAGCTTTTCGTTTTGTTTTTTTGCCATACCGGGGATTGAACTCAGGACAGGCAAGTACTTATTCTACTGAGCTATCTCCCTGGCCCACCAGCTTTTGTCTTTTTTTTTTTTCAAAGTTTTATTGATAAACAGATAGCAATGAGACAGTTTCAAATCAAATTGGAAGTACAGTTCCAACAACACCAGCTTTTGTCTTAATGATGCCGTATCAGAAGGTTCTGGCAGAGGGAAGACCAAAGGGGAACATGAAGGATGGTAGTGGGGAATGCAGGTAGTTCTGGTTCTCAACACTGGACATCTCTGCAACAGCAGCCCACTAGGGTTTTGGGGGGGAATAGGGCACTCACCAGCCCTACAGATGGGTGGAGGGTCACTCCAGTGTGAGGGGTGCCCGGGCACACACTTGATGCTAGCCTGGCCTTTCAGCACATAACCAGGGGCACATGAGAAGTGGACAGTAGCCCCTGCGGGGTGTAGACGCTTCTCAGGACTGTGAGCACCATTCTTGGGGGCACTAAGGCCATGGCATGGTTTGAGCTGTTCCACTGCAAAGAAGGGAAAGCCCAGTGAGGATGCCAGGCTCCGAGGGCAGGCAGCATCTTTTATCTTCTGTCACAGATTTCCCCTGCCCATCTGTTACTTACAGAGACATTTGGGAGCCCGGTCACTCCACTTGGGGTTGCCAGCCTGGCGGTCATGGCAGGTGAGGATGCCACTTCCTGTCAGCACAAAACCGTGGTCACAAATGTACTGCACGGTGGCCCCCACAGGAAACTTGGGACTGGATATGAGGCGTCGGCTGTGATCCACATCCCCAGGGTCATGACAGGAAGTCACTAAGAGTAGGGAATGAACAGAAGTAACTCAAGGAGGACTAAGCAAGGCCCAGTCCACCCTGATTTTGTTCCAGACCAGCTTGTCACTTCACATTATATGGCTCTACTCCCTAATAAAGTGTTTTTACCATTTTCCTGGTGTGTCCGCTCCCATTTATTAGAGTTAACAAAACCATTTGTTCCTTTCCCATTCATTAGGTCAACAGTGGTTGGCTATCCACCAGGAACAAAATACATGGGGTACTTGGTTGATAATGCTATGAAAAGGTATCATCTCCAAATGGCTTAGGAAACAGACTATAAGAGGTAAACGACTTTCAAGGATACCACTAAAACAGTGAGGACAGCTCACTGGACTCTCAGAATCCAGGAATGAGGGTTGGAGGTTGTGTTGGGCTGGGGAACATGGGGAACAAGTACTTACCCCTCTGGCATGAAGGCAGATCCTCACTCCAGCTTAGGTCCCACTGGCACATGAGGACACTGGATCCCACCACCTGGTACCCAGGGTAACACTGGTAAGTGACCACAGTGCCGTGTATCAGCTCAGGCTGCGATGGGTTCTTCCAGCCATTGGGGATCTCAGGCAATTCTGGACATGTGTCATTGCGGGGCACCTCTGTGGGCACAGAAGTGGCAAGATGCAATCTCTGGGCTAATTCCAAAGGACTGTAATAGTCCCTTCAGCCTGAGGTTACCCTGCCAGGTTGTTCTGGGCTCAGACTGACCTGAGTGGGTTAAGAGATTCATTCCTTCAAAGTCAAGGGTCTTTCTTTGACTATCCTGTATCTCTCTGTCTCCTAGACTTCAGGGTTAGCATCTAGGCTTTGGCCTCACTTCTAAAAGTACCTTGGAAAGTTCCTTAGAGCAGAGAGATGGGACTAGGTAGGATAAGGGAAATGGTCACTTCTATTAAAAAGTCATATAAAAACAAAAGAAGGTTCCTTAATTTCTTTCTTTCTTTCTTTCTTTCTTTCTTTCTTTCTTTCTTTCTTTCTTTCTTTCTT